AAACATCACTTTAGTGTACATGAATTTCAGAACATCTTATCAAATTCTAAATACCGATATATGGTTAAACATTTCTTTTTTTGGGCAAATTTTGAGATTTCATAAGGACGTTCCTTCTTAATCAAAACCAAAATTGTATTGGAAGTACTTGAAATATTGTCTAACAGATAAAAAGTATTCCTTTCTGTATTTTGTTTGTGCTGTATTTAGACCCCTTTACCAAGAAATTTGTTTTGCATGCACACGTATAAAAATTGCGGTTTTTATCCAACGCAATCATAGGTTTTAACGTTGTTTTCAATTTAGACTTAGATGCCTAAAAGTGTACAAAACAACACCAATATTAAAAAAAGGAAACATTAAATGTAATTATCTATAAATATTTAGGATAACAGATATCCTTCATCAGTATGAGTATGATGTAAAATGAATCATATCAATCTATTCTGATTTAACTATAACAAACTTGAAATTTATACAATTAAAAACCGAACACAAAAACGCTTGAACATTTCTAAAATTTCAAAAATGACGTAAGTTATATAATTTTTACAACAGAGACTGCATAGATATGCTTCTAATAAAAATAGTAATGTGCGATATGAACTGGTACATTTCTAAATTTTATGTTTAAAGTTTATGCATCACAGTTGGTAATCAATTTCAGGGGGGAAATCTAGATTGATGATTTGAAATCAAAGATTAATTTACATCCCTATCTTCCTTATCTGTTTTTCATCCAACATTCAAATGCCACTGGTTTTTAACTTTGTATTTTACTTGTAAAAATATAAAGACAATTGATTTATGAATCAGAGCATTTTAGCAGAAAACAATGTCATTTTTATTTATTTCAATTTTTAGAAGCATGGCTGTTTCGTTTGAAATATTTCTAACGAATGTGGATGCAGATTTATAAATCTTTCGGAGTGAAATGTTCTTAACGAAAGATGTCGGGTTATATTCGTCGTCGGAGGAATTAGGTCAAACTTTAATACCCAATGGCCACAACATAGTGCTAAAAGTACGAGTGCTAATTTCCTAATTCGTAATATTTCACACGCTCATACCACCGAGTTTCCAAATCATCCAATCATGCATTGTAAAAGTATTATATATATCATAATAGCTTATGATGGAGATGTTATACTGCAGTTTATACAGACAGAAGAAACAAATTGCAAATACCGTTTTTATATAGAATATCACTACATGTATCTGACAAACAGATGTTACAGACTATCAAGACACATACAACACATGTAATGAAGGAGCAACAGCTTTTATAGATTTTCGCATGAATAAATGATATTCTGTGGTTTTTTAGTGATATTAACGCATGTTTTTGTTAATTGTTGTAGCAATGGTATCTTCTCCAGAAGTACAGTGAAATATTTAACAGGATATTTATGGCTTGACCACGTGAATTGCAATGGAGACGAACAAAAATTAGCAAATTGCACTCATGCAGGATGGGGTGTTGGAAATTGTTTTCGTGGCGAAAATGTAATGATTGAATGCAATGATTATTATGAAGGTACAAATGCAGTAATCGAACTTTCTAAGGTTTTATTGTAGAAATGAACTTTACCATTTTTTTTTTATATTTATTTCGAAATCTTTGGGATTACACTTTCCAGCAAATTATACATTCGACATGGCAAATGGTCCAATTTTTGTAAAATGAAGTTTCATAGCCGAACAGTTGATTATTGTTCTAATTTCTAATATTTTATTTTAAAAAATAAGATGAAGATAATTTGACATTTATTCAGAAATGAGCCATGAATAACAGATATATTGAATAAAAAAAATCATAAGCCCGGTTAACCTTTATTTACGCTTAATATAATTTATTTGACGGTTTTCGCAATATTCTTTAGAACAAATACGGTGATTAAAGATTACGATGTATAAAAGTATAACAAAAACACCGAACTCCAATGTAAATAAAAAAAGGGGAAATTCATAAAAACTATCAAATTCAAACGTGAAACTTTATCAATTAACGGAACGAACATTTTGGGCCCTCAATGCTCTTCAACTTTGTACATTAAACGTTTTTTTATTCGAGTGTCACTGATGAATCCTACATTGTATGTAGACGAAACGCGCGTATGGCGCGCGTACAAAATTATTAACCTGGTATCGTTGTTGAGTTTATTTACAAAGCAATCAATATCATTTTAGGCGACCCTTCATTTCAATTTGTGCTTAGGATTTCTATTTTCAAAACGAATATTGCTTTTATCAGTTTCACAAGTCAAGATCAGAGAAAATTTATAGTTTATTAATTGTCATAGCCTCTTCAGAATAATAAACGTTTTTAATGTTCTTAATGTACTAAGAAGGGTTGAAATAGAATCTTGCATGTTTGTTTTATTATGTGTGTGAATTCGAGTTTATCTAAGAAATTTTACTAGTCACGAAAGAGATGGATTAAAAGTTTGAATATTAGCTTTCTTTTCATAAATATTGGTAGTTTTATTCAGTATACAGATCACCTTAAAGTTATTGTTTACATTGATGAAAAACTAGGGATACAAAGTAAAATAACAAAAATATCACTTATATGGCAGTCGCATATAATTCGATTATATTTACAACGATGTGTGAACAAAACAAACAGACATTATAGGTAAAAATGTCAAAAATAGGGGTACAGCAGTCAACATTGTATTATAATCTTAATCACTATAAAAAAAACAAATCTGCTAACAAAGAAAAACAAAAAGGCATATAGACAAAGTACATTAGCAAAAACGAAAGACAAGAAGACAAAAATTAACCATCGTACAATAACACAATGACGGGAGTACCGAGCCACGTCAAATGGATATAACAAAAAATAGACTAAACAGTAATGTAATAATTAACAAAGACAAACAAAAGAATATTATAACACGTTATTAGGATGACAAACAACGTCAGTACCTAGAATCTATACTTCAAGACCATCGTGTACTATTTGTGAAGTTGATACGGAATATTTATCAACAAGGTTTGGTATCTTCCGATGAAATTTTTCATGTATGATATTGAATGATCTGGCTTCTTTGATTTTCTTGTTTTTAACAAGTGTCTGAAAAAACTCCGACTCATATGAAAATAAGAAGAGGTCGGCAAGGAGAGGCGCACAGTTCGTTCCTATTGGAAAGCCGACAATTTTTTGAAAAAGTAATAGATGAACATGTAGGAAATGTTTGCTTGATGTTTTATTTAATGGTGAAACTAGTCAGGGGAAATGAATTAACATGTATTGTTTCAAAGAAACATCTTTTTTTGTCTTTTTTTCCGGGGAAAATAATACATTTTCAACTATTATCCATGTGTCATTCCCTTCGACAGAGACAACAAAAACGATTCCTTTTGAACAATATATATTCGTCTATTATCCCTGACTAGTTTCCCCAGAAACAAACCACAAATAAAAACATATTGCCGGGAAACAATACATATTAATCTTTTATCCCTGACTAGTTTCCATAGGAAACAACCACCGAAAGCACATTGTTTCTTTGGGTAATATACATTTTTAACTGTCATCCATGTACAATTCCATTGACAAAGACATGAAAAAAATAAATATTAATCTATTAACCCTGATTAGTTTACACAGGAACAAACACCTGAAAGAACATTTTCCTTGGAAACAAAACATATTATACAATTATTGCCTGCATGAAAGTTAATATCCAAGATTATTAAATCGAGGAAAAATTATTTTCCTCCAGGTCAATAGGCCCGAGCGAAAATAACCTTTTCGAGATTTGATAATTTTGGATAATAACTGAAGGCCATAACTGTTATTTTATGCTGAACTAAATATAAAGATATAATTATTGTCTATAAATCTTGAGCCAAATCTTGAGACGGCTACTATATTTTTCAGACGTCAACAAACGAGATGACGTCACTAGCTAGTTGTTGTTTTGACATGCAAATGTGCACCTAGTTTAACAGAGCTATTTTCACTACGTGTGTATTCCCTGACAAATATTTTGCCTACGCGCATATTCCCGAAAGAAAAGAGGGTTTTTCTCTCTTTGAAGGAATAAAAAACATATAGTAATATCTTAATAATTTTATTAGTGGTAACTCGATTGTAAAGTATAACATTTGTTTGTCTTGTTTAACAAACAGTTGAATATGTAAAGTTTCCCAAAAGAAATATTTTTTAATTGTTTGTTTCCCAGTGAATTTATTCATGAATAACATTTGAATAAGTATAATTTGCAATGAAAAAAATATAATAGAGATTGGAAACGAGGAATGTGTCAAAGCGACAACAACTAGACCAAAGAGTAGGAAACAGCCCAAGGACACAAATGAGTCTTCAATTCAGCGAGAAAATCAAACACCAGGAGGCGGGCTTCAGCTGGCTCCTAACACATAATGTATACTAGTTTAATGAAATGAACGATATGCTTAACTCCAAAACATACAAATGAACCAATATTTAAAAAAAAAACATACAAAACTAACAAAGGCTCGGGGTTCCTTTTGCATTTCTAACTAGTTTACTCATCTTTCTTTTAATCCTGTTTAACGTTAATTGTTTTTCAAATTACCTTCTATTATAAGATAAATGGTTTTCTTTTAGGAACCTTGCGACTTTCTTCAGGAAAACTTGAAATATTGCACAACAACGAATGGGGAACAGTTTGCAGCGACAACTTTGGCAAAATCGATGCTGTAGTGGCTTGCAAGCAGCTTGGTTACAGGTAATTACACACTTAACTTAAGTAATGTTGTAAAAACTATTCAATTTTTGTAATTGTGGATAAGTGAAAGCATAAAAGCTATTTGAAAAACTTACAATCGTCTTCATTTCAAATGAGTTTTATAATAAATTCATTCCATACGAAGGTAGTTTGTATTAACATCATTTCAGGTTTTATATCAAACATATATTAGCATAATGTTTGTTACAGATAATTAAAAAAAACCAGAAGAATTGAAACTATTTTCTACCTTAATATTAATTTCTTATTTATCAGAAATGGGAGTGTTCTAGAAAATACAATAGCAACTGGCACTTTAAGAATATGGTTAGACAAATTGCAATGCAATGGAACGGAAACTCATTTACACGAATGCCCACATACTGATTGGGGAAAACATAGTTGCATCCATGGCAATGTTGTTGGAATTCGTTGTTTTGAAGGACATCCCCGTGAAGGTATGTTTTGCCTTTGTTTTGTCAATATGAAAAGCAAGGTACTTCAAACTGTGAAGAGGAGTTTGAACTTGGGTCAAAATATCAGCTTTTTCCACCAAGGAATAAAGAAGGTCTTATGTATGAAAATCATTAATATGAATTTGCTATCAGCACTATACCTAGCGGAATTTATCTGTAATATTAATCACACGCTGAGACTATACAAAAGCGAAGTTGAATAAATTGTTGTAAATGTTAATTTAATCTTTTTTTTTAAAGTAAACAATGTCAAAACTTTCACATATCAATGATGGTTTACAAGTCAAAACCGTGACTATAACAAATACTTTTTAGTTTGTCTTCGACTTATGCGTTTGTATATCTCTAGGGTTTTCCGCCTTAATTTTACAGAGGGAATATAGACAAAAAGGGATAACTGAGAACTAGAAACCATTTTCCTGCAAGAGGAGACACAACTAAAAAAAAAGAAAAATGTTGATAATTGATGAAGATATGAGTTGCTCATTATTATGATGTACAAGCTTAAGTATACTATTGATTCTGAGGAAACTTAAGTGCAATGTTTATCCTTGTAATAATTGTTATTCAATAGGTAGAGATAATAAATTGTTACTCAATAGGTAGAGAACTATATAAAGAATATGCTATATGAACGTGGCCATGTGCTACTTGGACCCTTTTTCTCCTGTCACAAATTCTTGCTGACATAATTCTGTTATGTTAAGTTATGTTATGATATTAAAGCTTATTTTAATTGATAAATGATGTGTGTAGGCATAGTTGACCTAAGATGGATTTGGCTGTTATTTTAGGTCCTTTTTGGTCATAAAGTGCTTAAGCTGTTTCGGTCCTTATACATACTTCACTTTGAGAGTTCCTGATGACGGTAAATCCAGAAAAGCACAACTTCTAAAGTGTTGCTTTTTTTGTAGTATCTAAATACGCATTTTTAATACGTTAATTATATGTTCAAAGGCGATGTACGTATCAATTCAAGCAGACTTGAGATATATCACAACGAAATCTGGGGAACAATTTGCGATGACTCCTTTGACGACAGAGATGCCACTGTTGCTTGTAGGCAACTTGGATACAAGTAGGTTAAAGCAAGTATAGTTACATAATGTTTTGCTGTAATTAACACTAAAATATATTTATATATTAAATTCACCGACAGGATAGTTTTCAATCAAGCTTACTTTTCAATTTCCTGTTTGACACGTTATAATTAAATTTTACTGACAATGATAATTTTCAAAATGTCCCATTGGTTAATCCTTTTCCTTTAAGAGAAAGATGTTCTTGCTTATTGGAAACATAACATGACCCAAATGATATCATTTATTTGAAATAGATTTATATTAATTTTTTCGATGTTTACAGTTTTTACTAAAAAGAGTTGACTTCGAGAATCAACTATCGACTGCCCACAAAAATCCTAACTTTGATTTAATTAACTGCTTAAACTCATGAAACGAATGAATAACAAAAGAATCGAACATGTGCGCGTTTAAGTCTAGAACAACAAACCTATATAGATATATCGATAAGAAAGAGAATATCCTGCAACTTGTTTATCGACAATTTGTGTCATTGTCACTTGCTGTCTCATTGATATGATATCTTCTGTGACTTGTATTTTTTTGCATTTAATTATTTGAAAATTGTATGTTTCTAATTTTTTTTTGATAATTGTATTAGCTAACTATTTGATATGATGTTGGAGAATTCTTTAATACAAAAATATAACAAAAATACTCCAAGGCAAATTCGAAAATGAGAAAGTCCATAAAAACTGACAAAATCAACCGCTATCAAATCAACGGAACAAGTGAAAAACAACTGCCATATTCCTGACTTGGCACATGCATAATTATGATATAATTCAATCGTTTAAAAAAATAATGCTGTCAAAAGATTAAATGACGAGGAGTCAATTAACTTATGTATAGTAGACATTTAAATAACAACCGTTTACCCGCCACATATGTAAAGTTTTACTTGTGTGACGTTTATATCAGTAACGGTTGTTTCTAGAAAAAGACCGCATTGTTTAAATGCGTTAACTTACGCAACTTGTTTGTGACATGAAAGGTCTGTGACGTTGTTTTCTTCTCGGCAATAAAAACGGCAAATTAAAACGTTACATTTTGCCCATTTGACAGATTCCAATAAGAAGAACGCGTCAACATACGTTTTGCTGAGACAAATGAGCGAGCGCCTCAAATAGCTAGTAATAATAAAAATGAAAACAAAAGATACTACCTGTAACCTTGAAAATAAATGGTCAACTATATTATACAAATATTATTTTTTCTTATATGTTTACAAATGTAAATTTAATTGCCTAACGCTTAGAATGTGCACTTTTAAATTTGGTCGATTAGAATTGTTCTATCAGTTACGATGTACTTGCACCAATTTTGACAGAGAAAGACTTTTACTTATTTTCTAGATGAAATAGTTTAACTGATTCTTGGAAAAAATATTGTCTAATCTTAAAATGAAGTTATATTTTTATTCGAACTGGGAAACAGATTAAAATCTTTTAAAAAAAATGCATGATTTTTTTGTAATTTGTTCCATTAAAAATTGTTATTTTTATCCAAGACCAGTGAAAGAGTTTTACCAAAGATCGTATTTTATAATTAGCCAATTACACCCGAGGGTATGCTCAGCTCAGTAGTCAGCACAGCTGTGTTGACATGAATTATCATTGGTATGGTCATAATTATAAATTATCTGTTTACAAAACTTTGAACTTTCTTAAATACTTACAATTTTCTACCCCAGGAGTAGGTTAACATAAGCTGTATTTTGCAAAAGCTTTCGGAATATTGTTCTTCAATAAGTACCTTATTTGGTCTTTTTAACTTATATTATTTGAGCGTCACTCATGAGTAATGTGTGGACAAAATTTTAAGTCTGGTATCTAAGATGAGTTTACTTTAGATTTTAGCAGCAGCTAAGTTTGAATTGTTAGTAAGCGGAGATACCTTGGAGTTTGTTTGATATTTTAAAAGCTTATCGAGAAAAACCTATCAGAAAATGTTCCTCAAGTATTAAAACTTACGGTGACTATTTCCTATTATAAAGGGTCTTACTTCTAGACGTTAGATTTAAACTTCCGATCTATGGTGATATACGAGAAGGTGAATTATAATTCTAATTTTTTATTTAAATCGAACATTACGATATTTGTATTTTTATTAACATTTTTACAGCAGCGGAAAATTCTGTGGAGCCAAAGTTAATGGTACTGGGAAAATATGGCTTAGTGATCTGAAATGTTTTGGAAATGAACCTAAATTGAGTTATTGTTCACATAGAGGATGGGGTGACGGAGACTGCGGGCACCACGAAGACGTAGAAATTGAATGTTTCAACTTAAACGAGGGTAAGCATGAGTATCTTTAAAAGATCATTTAGAACTATCAAAAATTAAGCATGCAAAATTCCCCGAAAATAATACGCAGTGTGCAATGTGGCTTGAAAATGACTATATTAAGTTTGTGCAAAGATGTTGGTTTCTTTTGCAATTGGTAAAAGCATGACATACCATGAAGAGTTATTTCATGAATATCGGTGAATATTTATCTCCCGTGGCACAATAATTGGTAAATGAATTCAACATGTATCACTGTTGACAAATATTAAATGTAGTGAGCAAAACACTGTTAGATTTGAAAATCTGTACGATTTTCTATCTGTACTGTACATTCTGATATTTTTGCATGCATGTTTTTAGATTGTTCAACAATGGACAAAAAAAATACGATATTTGTTATTGCGATTTCAATAAGTTTTCATTTTTGCAAAACCTACCTCGTTGTAATTTTGGCAAATAAAAAAAAAAGATTAAGTATTGAAATTCAGAAGACTACGATTAAGTTCATATCATTTTTTGTTTATTTGCATTTTGAACCAAATTTAAATACAGTTAACTGTACTAATACAACTTAGAATCAAGATATTCAATAAAAATTCACCATGACACATGTATATAGCTTACACCAGACATCTTTCAGTGTGAAATGAATTACTAGAGGGTGTGAATGCGATACCGCACATGATGAAAAATAGTAAAACCTTTGATAAATAGTTTTAGCAATATCTATTGTTTTACTTCCAACGCTAACAGTAGCTTAAATACAATAAAACGAAAGATGGTAAAAGTTAAGATAAATTGTACTGTAACGAAAGGGGCAGTCTGACTTTTAATGATAGAAGCTTTTTTATATCACTACAGACGGGAAATAGACAACAGACACCAACCATAAGAGAACCTATGCTGAATACTTTTCAGCACTTTTTTGCTTTGCTTTGTTCTCTGTTTTGTATTGTTTTATTCATTTCTTTTATGTTAAAATGGAAAAAAAAACTAAATAGTAGAGTAGAATAGTTTCACCATGACACCTTAATGCGTGCTTAAATCAAAAAGGAAACATTTTCAGTGGTTGTCTGTCTTTTTTTATGGGGTGAACGGGTCTCCAGATGGTTGTATGGTAATTATCAGCTTGTTAGAATCGAAGGAGATACCGGATATACGTCGATCTGAAAGGAACAACACGACACATAAAAAGGCGAAAGATACAAAATAAAACAAGTTTAAAATCAAAGAAGGGATGATTTCAGAAAACTAATTTCATATTGAGTAAGATTTCAACTACCCCTGGCAAAGTTGATCTTAGATGGATTTGGTAAAACAAAATGTTGTCCTTTTTGGTTATATTGCTCTTCAACTGTTTCGGGTCTGATACATCCTTGGGTTTTAAATATTCGGCTTTGAGCATTCCTTATGAAGGTAAATCCAGAAAAGCGCTTCGGATGCATGCAATTTATAACGAATTGTTTGCATTTTATAGCACTGGGTCGATACCTCTTTGAGTATACTATCAGTTACAAAGAGTCTCATGAGCTCAGGAATCAATATTTTAATACTGACTTGATTTACTAAAAAAAAACTTTCTCCAATTGTCCGTTTATAAACATTTAAATTATATAAAAATTATGGTTTTAACTCCCTCAGTCAAAGTTGACCTTAGATGGATTTGGCTATTTCCTTTTTGGTACTTTTTGGCTATATAGCTTTTCAACTGTTTGGGTTCTTATACATTCTTGGCTTTTAAACACTCGGCTTTGGGCGTTCTTGATGAAGGTCAGAAAAAGAAAGCGCTTCGGACGCATGAAATTATTTTCTATCTTTTGCCTCTCTTTTACTTTGGCATAACATGGATTTGGTCCTATCCGCATACTATAGAACACATGTGTATCTGCTTTTACTATTAAACCTCTCATCAGAATTTTTAAAAAAGAAACTTTCTCAGAATCCTCACCATGCAGTGGCATTGAATAGCTCTGAATTCAGTGTTTTAGATTAAGAAAATCATTCATTATGCCATTTCTTTATCTGGGATAGAGTACCCATCTTGTATCCACAATTCCTAGTAAATCTCTGATTAGCATTAATTGAAACCTTTTCAGAATCTTGACCATAGAATTCTATTGTTCATCTCAAATCTGTTTTATCCAAATCATAGACTTTACCATTTCTTTATCTGTGGATACCAGTTTTGTATTTGCTACTCTTCATAAACCCCTTTTATTCAGAAGCTTAACATTTCATTTCATTATAAAGTTCTTATATTTTCTTATTTTATTTTTGGATTTCCAAATTATGGACTTGGCCATTGCGTTTTGCATGTTTTGTTGGGGCGGGGGAATCGTTTGAGAGCTTAGCTCTCTGTAACTTGCCACAGACCACAATTAATTCCTCTATTAGTTCTTTATAACGTTTTGTCTCATTAAAAAAATGATGCACCTATTCTTTTTGTCAAATCATTTGTGTGTGTAATGTACAGTACTAGTCCAAAAATATATCCAACATTCAGAAAGATTGCACTCTAGCATCTTACAAATTTTGCCAGTACACATCCATACCCCTATGAACAAGTCAAGAGATGTTCCGAAAACTGTAAATATTACCTTTTCCACTCTTTTTATATCAAAATCAGTTAAAATGCAACATCCAAAAATGTATTTCGCCTCTTTTATTTCATTTCAAACCGATTTAAACTTAAAAGCTAAGAAATGAATGAGAAAGAAAAAGTAAAGAAAAAATACACTTTAATTAAAGGGAACTATATTAGAGGACAACAAAAAGTGGGGGTCATTAATTGTGGTCTTGGATCAGATGTAGTTTAAATAATAAACGAGTTTAGAAATTAAATACAAAACTTTCTTATTGACTTACAAGATTTAATAATAAAAGTATATAACCATATATAGTTGTTAATTTCTGTGTCTTTTGGTCTCTTGTGAAGATTTGTCTCATTGGCAATCATACCACATCTTCTTTTTTTACATATGATATAATATATAATACTGTGGTTTTTAAAATCATTTCGTCTGAACACTTACATGTTTGGTTTTTTTCTACTACTTTATGAAACTATAAACTAACATACTTATGGTATTGCAACAGATAATTTCAACCTGTACTGTTAATTGCATTTATGTATGAAATAAACCAAAAAGTTCTCTACCGATATATTATTATGAGACGGTAGGTAAAATGTGATTGGTTCTATTAACTACGGGGGTTAATGTATTATTCAATAAATATTTAGCATTAATTGAATCCTATATATCTATGAGCTGGCGTTATCGTAAACAACTTTTGTCCTTCCAGTGAATCGAGTTTAAAGGTGAAAATTAGAATAAAAACAAGTTATTCCCTGTCCAAATTCAAAAATCTCGTTAGTGGCTGTGTTTAGATTTATTTTAATGTTTTTGTCATTTTTTTGAAACTGTAATCGAACGAAATATTTCTTTTCGTTATATTGGTTCCACCGAAGTTCTGAATTAAATTTATAGTTCATTTCAGATCCAATAAACATTAATGTATTCTTTCATAAGGTGATATACGTATCAACTCAGGGAGTCTTGAAATATTTCACAACGACGAATGGGGAAGCGTATGCAGAGAAGACTTTGACAATATCGATGCTAGGGTTGCCTGTCGACAGCTTGGATACAGGTATGTAGCATATGCACCATATGTTATTTTTGATTTAATGATATAATGCAAACAATATAAACAAACTATGTAGATAATTATAGGTTTCGTAACGAGTGAGAATGGGATATCGCTTGATATCAACTCGAGTAATTTAATTACAATATAGTAATAAACGAGTCTTCGGCGAGTTTATTATTGCTACTTAAATTAAATAGCGAGAATTGATATCAAGCGATATCCAATTTTCACAAGTTGTTTAACATATTTCTCTTATGGTCAACACTCTCAATATGTAAAAATATAAATTCCGCGTAATGTTGATCTAGTCTTTTGCACATTCCAGTATGACGTCATATGTCCTTTTCCGGTGTCAAACTTTAACATCAGACATTTTTAGACTTTTTGTACGTTTCAGAAATTTAATACAATTTGACAAAAAGAACATTGCCAGGTGAAATGTGTGAGTGTTTTGTATATCATTGAAGAAATCACAATTTCCGTTGCCATGGACGAAATGTACATCGTCTTAACCTTTGAAAGTCAGCATTGACGTAACGAATAACCAATGGAAATGCCGTATTTATCGTCTTGTGATGTTAGATAAGCCATTCAAATTAACACAGATTTTCGTATCACTCTTTCGTATCACACTTCGTGCAGTGTGATACGAGAAATATCTATGCATGCAAGAAATAAATAACAGGCCACAACCATAAGAGAATGTAAATGATCACTTACGTTTACATATATCAATGTGTTCCATTAAGGGATTTTTCCGGTTATCTATATGTTTTACATGTTATTATGGAATCGGATCCCTTTGCATTCTTTTTTGGAGCATTAAAACAGGGATTCAAGGTGTATCATCAAAGTGATAACATAAATACCAGAAGAAAATACAAAATACGTTTTACCTTGTTTGACGAACATATGCACAAGAGCCTCCGAATCTTGTTACGATTTGTAGATCAATGAAAGTACAGTAAAGCAGCGGTAAACTCAACGTTGATTTTTGTACATATAAGAACATTGGAAATGACACCTCGGATATTGAATGCTATTTTGAAGCAGATCAATATCACTTTTTAACCAAGACTTTCCTAATTCTTTTCAACCTTCTATAGAATTCACCATGAAAAAAGGTATAACGAAAATACCGAACTCCGGGCCAGATTCAAAACGGGAGGAAGTCCATAAAAACTGACAAAATCAAACGCTATCAGTCAACGGAACAAGCTAAAAACAACTGCCATATTCTTGGTACAGGCACACTAAAATGGTAGGTTAAATCTAGTTTTCAGCTAGCTAAATACCCCAAGTGTGTGACAATTGTTTATAAATCCGTTATATTGACAAAACTGGGTGAGCAACCTCAATAGACATAATAGGTTATAATGTAACAATAATTGGGATTCAGCCGCCAGAACTGTGTAATCTTTCATTCCAAACATACAACACAACTGACCAAAAAATTCCAACAAACATACAAATTAATCTAACAAAGACGCCAACAAAAAAGTTAGTAGATAGTAAAAATTGAAAACAACCCTTTATAAATTTCATGAGTCTAAAGTTTGACAATGACGTCAACGAAAGACAATGTTGTCGATGATAGTACACACTGCATTTAATTGTTTACACTTTATTTATAAAGTAAAGAATAAGTAAATATAAATACAATAGTAAACAAAATACAAACAACACTGTAAAAACCCTTTGCTTCCGAAACGCGTATCAGGACCTACCTGCACCAGGAATACCCAAAGTTTAATAGTCACGATGACGGGATGCATGCATACTGAGTCATGTCAATATTCATAGGACCAAAATAGATATAATAGCGCGAAGACAAATAACGGAGAAACTAAAATAAAGTAAAAAAATATACAACTTCAGACCACCTTGTATTATTTGTGAAGCGGACATTGAATATTTATCTATAAGGTCTTGGTACTTTCCGATTAACCTTTTTGAGAAAAAGGACGAGAAGTTCTTTGAAATAACCTTGGCTCAATATTTTTTTGCTCAGACACCGCTGATATTTACATATAGTCTGAGTAGCAGCTGTAACCAGTGTAAGAGAATAACCGATCTTTGACACTCTGATAAAAAAAAATCAAACACTGAAATAATAACCTACTCACAAATATCCCAATTTCCACCAATGGCTTATTTTTTTTTATCTCTCCTGACATTCGACACATACAAATTTAACAGTTGTTTTCCAGTCGTTCCGTTGGTTAATATCTTCGACCGTGCGGTTTTGTCTTTTCTATGGACTTCCCCTTTTTCAATTTCCTTTTGAGTTTGAAATTTTTGCTTTTAATATATTTTACTACAACTAATTGGGGTCAAGCGTTTACCCAAAACAAACTGTTCTGCTGTTAGATTTTTCTCCCGAGGGCATCATAAACACGGTAGCGTTTTGTATGATATATAACAATACAATTCACATATAGGGTAGGACAACAGGTAAGCCTAGGTACTCAATAATGTCATTTACGAATCAGAGAGTACCTTATGTGGGCTACTTCATGTTGGTGAAACTCGACAAATATTTCTTAAAAGAATGAACCAAAACCGGTCTCATAATAAAACCCCGCTATTCAGGGTTGTTAGAACCCATATTAATCAAACGCTCTATGAACCTTCTTTATCCAGTAAAGTACGCATCATTGAGAAAAATTACCACTATATACCAATAAAAATAGTATTACGGCTCTCCGAACAGATAAAGAAAATTTCTGATAATATGATTAGGTACTGCAATCTCGTACGGTTGCAATAATAATGTCAGAGGTGTAGGAAATGTGTCAACCCCAGCCTTCAGTAATGTAAATGTAATGAGCCTATTTAGACTAGCTTAAGACCAAAGCGTATTCATGGTCAAAATACGTTCGTCCAAATGTAGGAAAGTTTTCCAATCGGGATCATTCAATGGGAGCTTTGATTAATTTGTTTGATATCTCCTTCATCCTTTTGGGTTACGTAACAATCGTAAAATTCTTTTGATTTCAATACCTGTAAATTTTTCTCTAATGTTTATGAGACTATGCACTTGACAAAAGATGTATAGATATGTTTCCTCCAATATACAGACTGGTCAATATATATTATGATGTAGCATATAACGTCTTTTCAAACAAGCATGATTGGTATCATTACGCGATTAAAATAAAAAAAATTCCTTCAAATTTATTTTTCGTTCAGAGGAATCAATGCTATCAACATCAGCACCTTTCTTTATCATAAACTTCTAAAATTTAGCTTTATTTTCAAAATTAGTCTGTTCATATTGTCTCCTACAGTTACATCAAAACCATTGCACCTATAATATATTTAATTATAAACAATTATTGCAAGACCTTGATTTAGAAAAATACTTAGAAAACAAAACTTTGACATGTGACTGTTCACACTCATCATATATTTTTGGCAATGTTATTACTGGTGATCTTAACCTAATTCAACATGTACAAATTCTATCTTATGGGTAGATGTGGAGTCTAAATTAACAACAATAGAAGTTTTAAATAAATCAGCAAAAATGTAGTATATACATTTTGTATCACGACATTTCAATTGAAATACAGATAATGAAACAAATAACAATCTTTTTTCTTCCGATGGTGTTTCCTGGTCATGGTGAATTTCTGTCAAATTTTCTTGAAGGTTTAACAAAGTTATAAATGTAAAAAAAAACCTGACTTTATGCAAATGCTACTATTTTAAAATACTGAAAAACAAAAACAAAAATGTTTATAAAAATTTTATTCAGATGTTATCGATACTGGTCGAGGAACAGCTACCGTCAGTTACCAGTTACCGTCACCTGGCATTTTATCACGTTTCGTATATACAGCAATGCTATTATCTGTAAACAATAACTTTCTTTTCTTTTTTACAATCTTTCTTCTGTTTGATAAGATTAAACAAGAGAATGCTGAGTTTTCACTTTAAACACGTCGTGGGAGGATACGCTTGCGGGAGCATGATATCGTCACTGTATGACGTCCTTGATTTTAGAGAACTTACCATATTCAGACAAAGTAATATCAAAGCTTGCTTTAGAACAAAATTTTGATTCATAAGAATATAAAAATTATTATTGATTTAAAAATTGAATTATTAGCTCCTATTGAATACAGTGTAACTTGTTTATTTCAAGTTCTATCAAAACTTTTGATTTTTCAACCCTGTATATCACCATTCCCATGTGAAATTGAAAAATCGTCTAAAAGAACTAATCTACAATGCTTTTCAACATAAAAACGGTAGCATAAGGTATACCAAACGGCATATTTTGTTAATAGTGAACAAAAAGGTAAAACATGCTACACAGAGGAACAGTGATCAGTATGCTGGAGTTTCTTATTGACAACATCTTTGTTGAATTTAGAGGTAGACTTTTTTAACAAATTGTCGGCATTCCTATGGGAACGAACTGTGCGCCTCTACTTGCCGACATCTTCTTATTTTCATATGAGTCGGAGTTCCTTCAGACACTTGTCAAAAACAAAAAGATCAAAGAAGCCAGATCATTTAATTTCACATTCAGATATATTGATGATGTTCTTTCGAATTACAAACAATACTTTTCTGATTGGGTTCCATTAATATATATCCTCCAGAACTAGAAATTAAAGAAACAAAAGACACGGCTTCCTCTGTCTCATTTCTAGACTTATATCTTGAATTTGACATAAGCGAGCGCTCATCTCAGTACCAGAATCTATGACAAACGAGACGATTTTATTTTTGAAATTATCAATTTCCCCCACCTTAGTAGCAATATACCAACTTCACTTGCATATGGGATATAAATTTTCCAACTCATTCGGTATTCAAGAGCTTGGTTGGAGCTGCTACTCAGACTTTGTAAAACGTCTTCAGTGTCTGAGCAGAAAGATGATGAACCAGGGGTATGTCAAAGAACTATCGTCCTTTTTCTAAAAAAGTTCATCGGAAGATACCAAGACCTTGTTGATAAATATTCCGTATCAACTTCACAAATAATA